GCGGACAGAATGATTTACGTGATTTACGTTGCTTTAATTGTCCCGCCAGCTAGGCCGCTAGGACGCGAGCAGCGAACCGGTAGATATGTTGCGCGCGCCAGAGCAATTTTCGCAACGTGATCAACGGCGTTGATTAACGAGAAGAAAAATCATAGAAAAACAGAAAGGAAGGAAAAATCAGCGACTTCGCGCCTCGCGAGTTCGCACCGAGATCCGCGCACCGAGAGAGATACTTGAGACACGCGCAAGACGCTCTAACGCGCGCGCGTCTCGATCGCAAAGAGCAGCCGAAGAGTTGTTCAATATGCGTCTTCACGTTGCGCTTGTGGCCCACAAAATGGATTCAGTAGTTCGCCCGAGAGTTAGTCGCGTAAATATTTGATTGGAGAGCTTTTCGACACCATGCGGCAAACATGCACGACGTGGAACGAACGAACGATTCGGTGTGCGGGATATAGAGTGCGAAAACAAACGATTCGCGAAATCAAGCAGCGCCGAAGATTTCGCGGAAACCGAGCGCGCAGAATTGTGCGAATCACTCACCTGGGGCAATCTAATTTTTTTTCTTATTTTTTTGGATATATTGTTTGATGTATATATTTTATTCCCTGATGCACATATTATTTGTTAATTTGTATTGTAATTATATTATTTATTAAAAGATATTGTTTCTTATTTTATTTCATTTATTTACTTGCAATTTCACGGTACTTTTAGATACTGATAGATTTCTCTAATAACCGCGACTCGGCTTCTTCGTAGAAGAAGATCCTTCAGACCTGTCCACGACGCGACGATGTTTCTCCACGAGGAGCCGTCGTCGATGCGCTCGGAATTTCGAAATCCGAGGCGCGGAACGATGATCGGGGACAGTACATTTCGCGAGACGTTTCCTTTCTCTCTGACTACCGATCGGTCAATCGATCTTCCTGCTACCCTGAAGAAAAGCGAAACGGTCACTCGACCCGTCGAGATCCCTTCTTCCGACAAAAGATCCGATGTGTAGCGACGCGAGATCGCCAGATAGAAAATGTCTCGAGACAAACCGAGCGAGAAGAGGGAGGGGGGAGGGAGGGCCGTGAAGGATCAAGGAGAGCCCTGTCCTGTTGGACACTTTAACGCATCGTCCGTTCGCGTTAAGGTATCGCGTTAATAAAGTACCAGGCGGCCAGAGTATCCGCACGTCTCTACTAGAGCGAGGGATAGAACGAGCGATCGACGAAACTGGCTCAGAGATCTAATTAAAATTCCGTTTCGTCCCGGAGAAGCCCTCTCTTGTTAATGGTCATGCCGGAGGAGCATAAGGAAAGGTGTAAGAGGGAAGGCAGGAGGGTGGAGGAGAGTTAAAAAGGACGAAAAGATTCACGGAGCGAGAGCAGTGAGCAGATAGAAACGTCTGGATTCTTGACGGGTTTGAGTCCGACGCGATCATCGCCAGGGTACATATCTAACCGCATCTAATTACAACCTTAAAACGCATCATTCGACTTGGATGAGATTAAGGACTCGTTGCTAAAGAGTGCTCGTTATCTTAACGAGTGCGCCGTGCGAGTCTCAGGTAACACATCCGTAGACGATCGTTGGCGCGAAGGACACGGAAAAGCTTCCGCCTTGGCTCGCTGGTTTCCTACTCGCCAATGTTCCGCGATTGCACTCGAGAATTACGTGTAGAGGCGCACCTTCTTTCGCCGTCTTTGACGCTTCATCAAACGCTTCTCTTCCTTTATAGTGAAAATTTCCTCCTCCTTATTCTTCTATAATAAAAATAATCAAACAACCAGGATAATAAACATAAGAAAAATAAAATAAAGTGATATCTGCGAATAAAAAACGAAGTAACGCGAAATGCAAGAATAAAAGAAAACAATGAAAATAATAGAACAAACAGAATATAATGGAATAATAAAGAAGAACAAAATAATGCAAAAGGAAACAAACGAACCTAACCTAACCTATGCACTTACTAACTATGCGTTATTTTAACACTTTTCATTCGCAATGACAGATCAACGGGTTCCGATCCGATTGGCTATGGGAGCGAGTCACACGACAACAGGCGCTAATGTGTCAGTTGTACACCGAAGTTATAAACAAATATGTCATCGCCTTATATATGCCGCACGACAACGGCACGTGCACGGCAAGCGAGAAGTGAGCTTCTCCAAAGAGCGTTCCCGCGCTTCGTCTCTACCTGATTCTCGCGATGGGCGAAGCGAACGAGCGGTGTACGGGGTGGATGCGGGTGGTGGGCACGAGTCCAAGGAAAAAACGTGAGTGACGCTCGGATCAACTGGCAAAGATCGTCGTCGTCGTCGTCGTCGTCGTCGTCGTCGTCGTCGTCGGTCTCTTGGCGAAATCTCCTTCGCCAAGAGTCCTCCGCGTCGCGCTCCCCCACCATCCCCCATAAATCGCACTCCGTTGCCATCTCTTTCATTGTCCAATTGGTAATATCAGCCGCTATTACGCTGTTGAATACATTTAATAGACAAAAGATTGGCAGTGGCTCTCAACACGCTCCTCGTCGCCGCGTGTCCGAAGCCCTCGTCTCTGAATTTAGTTCGAGAAAATGCGTTTCGTACACGTCGACGTACGGGGAGAATATATCGTTGGCGATTCGGTAATAGCGCTCGAGCACAGCCCGGCTCGGCATTCAACGACCGGGCAATTGGACAATTGAGCTCAATCATAATAACGTTCATACGCATATCGTGCCACGAACCGTGCTTCGCTTGCTCGTCCGCTTATTTACCGAAATATCGATTCCCCCCGTCGTACAAGACGTATGGACACCATGCATCCTGCACTTCTTCCTTCCCCTCCCCAAGACGCGGAGAAACCATTTCCCAGCTCCGGGAATCGTCGATATTCATTGTACGAATTACAGCGACACGGCCGCGAGTTTACGCGTCACACGTGGTCCCCGTCCCCGATGAAGTTCCAACGAAATCTCTACTTTCGTGGCACACGCGCCACCTACGGTACACAGAGGAATCGAGAGAGAGGAGGGGAAAGAGAGAGAGAGAGAGAGAGAGAGAGAGAGAGAGAGAGAGAGAGAGAGAGAAGTTCGGTACAAAGCCGTGTCTGTTCGCCAGATGTGACGGCCAAAATTTTCGACTGGCCGCGATTCCCTTTGACCCCTGCGGCCTCAGTTCGCTTTTCGACGTTTGACGAGAAATCGTTCGACGTTCTGATTGTTCGGAACAATCGAAACGAGACCCTAATTTGTGTACTGCCGTTTGTTCATTCGTTAGAAATAAATGCGCAGTGGTACCGCGTCGCATCGCGCTGGTCCGAAATTGTCCACTGGACGATTTCGTAATCCGACGAAATGGCGGGAAACGGTTTGCGAGACAAAGAGAACGATCGACGACTATGGATTTTCGCAGGGATCGCACCGTGGTTACGGCGAGCGATAGAATTTAGCCGTGTGATTACGGGACGTAATCGGCTATCGGCTGACGAATGATTATTTCTCTCGCGACGTAGCAGGCACACCGTGGACCACGCGATAAGCGATCGTTTACCGCCCGTGGCGCACGCCGCGCGGCGGTAATTACGTTCCGTGCGAGATATAATTATCGTCGCGCTGGCGCTTATTAATCGTCGAGCGTACGCGCGCGCGGTTTCCGAGGATGCTGGTCGGCCGGTTTGCAATTTTGGCGACCGCGCCAGAGCGATCGTTCCACTACTCTCTGCGCCCGTAAACATTAATCGGCAACAAAGTGCCAACGACTTCGATTGTCGAAATAGCTGACGTGCGGATAAATATGTGCGCGGTGTCCCGGCGACAGCACGGACGTACAACATGACCGTCGGGTCGGGGTGAAGAATTTAATTGAATCATTTTTTTTTCGCCATCGATAAACTCACCCCTGAGAGGCTCAAGTTTGGACGAAATGAATAAATGTGTAAATAAATAAAAATTTACACGTCTAAAAAGATTAAGTATGAATGAGAGAAATAATAATTCTACGAATAAATAAGTACATTCCCCTGAAGAAGTTAAGCTTGAATAAAACATTAACTCGTATATCATTCTGAATGACAAAATTGTCGTTGTTGTTTCGAGTGAATTCTCACTCGTTTTTTCACTCGAAGAAATTCAGAGAGTTTCTTCTACCTCGGAGGTCTCGGAAGACGCGTTGATCGTCGATCGAATTCGAACGATACATCAATCGATCCTCGACAGCTGCGAACGTTTCTTCCGACACCTCGCACGCGACTCGCACGCACTTCTCTTTCTCATTCTACTTCCGCTTTAGCTCGCTTTTACTCACTTCCTCGTCCTCGCGCTTTCCTCGGCGCCCCGGCGCTTCCCGGCTATGCGCTATTTTTCACGTCTCGCGATCCGCGTTAGCCATGCTCCCTATCCTGCTCGTTCCTTTTTCAATACGAAAATACAGCGCAAGGAACGGTGGCGGCGGCGATGACGCTGCAGACCTTCTTCCTTTACAAATCTTTGGACCGCGCGTACCAGGCGCGTCTTTCCCTCTCCTTCTCTGCCTCGCGGCATTCGTTCGTTTCGATTTCACACGCGACGAGAATTTACACGAAAGAAAAGCGGATTCTAACATAGTAATAACAAAACTCACTCGTCGATGGTGATTCTGGTTTTTCGACATTTCTTGCTTCACGATGTCTACATTGTATTTTTAGATGAGCTTATGGAATTTCTATTACACGCAATTACTCCTTCGCTTCCTTCCGCGAGTGTTCCCCGAAGACATCGTAGGGGCGCTTCTTTGAATTAAGAGGCCTCGAAATATAATTCGGCTAAAGCATTAATAACTGCGTGTTCTACGAATTAATAACTCGTGGACGTGAATCATCCGCATGTACGATGTCGCGACTCGAAATCGATTGCGCTTCGTTTCGCGAGGCGTAGATTTTCAAGGCGGATGTCATAGTCGGTTCACAGTCCGGCGATGGACGTCGTGATCTCTTCGAGCGATCTCTTTTGAAGCAGTAAATTAAACAAAAAATAAATCGTATCGTCTTACCTAGTCGAGCAAGCCGCGCTAATCCAAGATCCAAGACTCCGAGGAATACGAAGGTCACAAGGTAGATCCACGTCGCCATTTCGATCCGTTCGACACCGTGGGTGTGTACGGCTAGTGTAATCGCGGCATTGAGGACTTCCTGAAACAGAAACCGTGAAGGAAGAGTTTATTTATCTTTCCTCCTCGCGCGTGTGCCACGATCGAGTAACGCGTAAAAATGCCTTCAGCGATGACTCTTTCAAAAACAACGGAAGCAATGATTCTCTTTCAATCGGACGATTACGAGCGCAGAATCGAACCGCGAAGGAAATGGAAAAAGATACGGAATGTAGTCGAGCCAGCGGGAAAGGTCCGAAATAAATCGAGAAATGCTCGACGTTCTTGCGACGAATCTTCGTTGTGGTTCTAATCGGTTCTCTCTTTTCGATCGAAGAGAAAACACGAGAGAAATGATTATTGGTTACAGCAAAGGAAAAAATTCGAGAGTAAGGAACTCGTGTCATTACGACGAATTATTAATAATGGCGATGCAGAGTGCTCGTTTCCTTCCACGTTCCATCCTTTTCTTCGACGTCGGTCGACCTCGTCGTATTTTTCTCTGTTTCGCGAAGAGCGTCCCTCGAAACTGGCCGACAGCCAAAGCCGAAAACACGGTGCACTCGCCGAGGACAAGCGACCAACGGTTTTAGACACGACGATCACGTTGATGAAATACGGCCCTGGAGAGTGCAGACGCGTGCGTGCGAACCAACGCGGTTTTACGCACGTGCTTTCTGTCCCCGAGAACGATGCATTCGCTGCGACCACTTCTAACGCGACTCGAAATCATCGGCACCATAATAAATTCGGCCCCGATCAGCAACGTCGTAGCAATTTTAATGAATTCTAATGCAACTGAATGTCCGGGTGAATTTTTTCGTTCGCCGTAATACAGATTGCATTTTTTCTCAGCAAATTTTCGTTAGGTTTCTCGATCAAGTTACATCTTGCAACCACATGCGATCTTTCTATCTATGCGAGAAATTCTAACGATACAGAAAAAGATTGCTTCACGATGCACGAGAAAGAAACTAACCATGGTGATTACAAAATGATAATAGCAAAACGAGACAAGCATGACAGTATTTATTTTTCATAAACGGCAACGTGCACACGATCTTTATTTTCCTGCGCTGCCGTTAATGGCCGTTGAAAATTAGACTCAAGAGCGACAGATTGTTTTCCTTGAGACACCCTAACGACTATGCGCGGACACGTCTTCCGCTACCTACCAGAAGAAGGAGAGAGAAAACGAAACTTCAAGAAGAATATGCGCCTGTATAAAACCTGACGGGAAAAGGAAAAATGACGAATCCGGCGAGCGACGATTAAGCCGACCCTTGCTCTCGAGGGGGCCGTGGAATCTCACAAGTTCCTAGTGTCGGAGCCGGCCGACTAGGTCCTGAAGGAACATCGGCCCCCATCACCTGTTGCATCGATAGAAAAGAGAAATGCGCGCACCCTCGCTGCCGTCGAAATTCATCGAAGCTCCTCTCCCCATCTCTTTTTCCCTCTCTACTCTCATCGTGAGGATCGTCGTGAGAAGATTTCTCCCGAAGCAGGCCGAAGCAGAAAAAGGCCTCTCGTAACAAGAGAAGGCAGACGCTTGCGCGAGGTCGAAGAAAAACGAGGCTTGACATCGTCGACAACGTTATACGGACGCGTTCCAATTTGTGATTGGGTTTCGCCCGAAGCCTGGCAACCACATTGTCTAAAATTGTAGAAACAACAGCTGCAGAGTGAAAAATGCGAATTTTCGCGACGAAAACGTTATCTAGGGTTACGTTACGCCGGTGTGACTTGGCGTTTATTAGCTCGACGAAATGTCTTTGGACAAATTCAGCCGGAGAGAAAGCGAGAAATGTAAGCCAGATAGTAAGAGTCAGCTTAGGTTTGCACGAGACTTTGCAAGGTCGACTTGAAGTCGACACAAAAGCGAGTATCGTGCTTCGTGAATTGTGATACTTTCGCATGCATTTCGCCGGTTGGTATTCGAGCGAGAATAAATCGGGCAGAATCGTTCACGATCCTGCCCGAAAATACACACGTGTCGCTAATATTAGAGGAATTTCATATTACGGTGCGACGCTATCGCGCTAATAATTCGCCGATTTTAGTAACGCGTGGGTCGCGGAATTTCGAGCGACGTCGAGCGTTCGGTTTCCCGCCATCATCCTGAAAAGGGCCGCGTTATTGCAGTTTATAAATAACCGCAACTCCTGCAACTCATCATGTATGCGACCACAATCACATAGAAAAACAAAACTCTGCTGATATATTTGTTTTTTCTGTTGTCTGCAGACTGTTCCGAAAACTCGGACCTTATAGGAATTGAGCAAATATTGTGATATCATTCGGAAAGATTTCCAGCTGAAATCGTTCAATCATTCACTGGTAACATGGAAAATATTTTTACGATATCACTTCTCGTCTTGTTTAGTTTTCGTCTGGTCCTTATTCGGTTAAATAAAGATATTTTTCCCGTATAAATTTCTCTATAGTGAATTATTTTCCACAAGAAAATAGGGTAAATATTTATTTACCTATGGGGACCACCTCCCGATATCAAAAATTTTAGTTGTATGTTATGTAGATCATCACTCTGAGCAATGCTGCAAGGTTTTAGCCGGTGGTCACTGTTTATCCCCACTCCCCGATATTTACCCGACAGTGATTGGAAACAAACAATGGGAAGGAGATGAAGAGAAGCAGGTGAGATGGGGGTGGGGCACGCGTAGCGCGCCGTGCTAAACGCACTTGCAACTTACGTATATACTAAACTTTTTTTGTTAATAACTTTTTAATAAACAGTGACCGCCGGCTAAAACCTTCCCGCATTACACAACACACAAATAAAATTTTTGAGATCGGGAGGTAACTATTTACCGAAAATAGAATTATTCTGATCGGAAACCTCTCTGAATTGTTCACAATATATGCCCAGGAAAGTTCGCAGGAGATTTCTACTCTATCAATTTGTTTCTCTTCGCAAAGTTTTCCGTCTTTTTCCTTTCCATCCTCTTATCTGAATCGGAATTTCTGTTTCCGTGTGTGTCGAAGCGTACTGCTCTCTACGCATTTTCCGCGCGCGCGCGCGCGATTCTAATTTAATTCTAATTTAACACGAGTATACCTGAGAATTCAACAGCCGATAAAACGCGCGAGGTATTCTGTATCGCCCTAGTCTTGCTATTAACTATTTTACGATCTCGCGATCTCACGCGTGTCTCAAGTCGCGGCTATCGCGTTGGATTTCAACGAGCGGAATCTCGCCGTCGATATTAGAGAAACGGAAACGAGAGGGTATCGCGCGCGAGCTCGCGTCGTTTACGAATGCATTCGTGCTGTGCGGCAACTTAACGTTACGTAGAATTTAGTACTCGATAAAAGGGAGGATCGTTCGTGCGCCCACTTACGTCTTCGAGTTTATAGGCGCGCGATGCCTCCGCATTCGGAGCGACGTTAGCCTCGCCATAAACTGGCGTTCAGTTCTCCCGGCAGCCTCATCGATTAATAATAACGGCCTTAATCTTGTACATTTTTTCTCGGTTTGCGATTGCTTGTACACATACGCGCGATCGCCTACGACTCGGACAGCCTACGGATGAGCTCCACGTGTCTCTTCGCGGAAAAAATTCTCTCGCTTCGTCGTATATTTCGCGTACGAAGAGGCAACATGAGAATTTAATACGCGATAAAACCGGAGGCAAAATGTTGTGTTAGGCCCTCGGGCGGGCTCGCTTTATTATTTACACGACGTTTATGTCTTTGTCCTAGGAGAGGAGATTTAACGGCGGTGCAAGGCTCGACAAGTTTCGATTTCAGTATACTTTCTTCCTTCCGCGTCTGTACTACGGGCAACGTCCTTATTACGAGCGCCTACTTCTACTCTTTCGACCGCGAGATATGATCCTCCTCGAGGACGATCGGCAAAAGTTCGTTGGCAGATCTCGGGATCTTTATATCCGTTCGGGCTCGTTTAAAAGTGATCGCGAACCGGCTGATAAAGACCATCATAAAGTAACATCGACGCATCGCGCATGGTAAACATGATTTCATCTCTCTCTTCTTTTTCTACTTTTTAAGAATCGATGCGACACGCGCGCGTGGATTCTCGTAAATCGAGCCGAAGACGGCAGAATAGAACGTACTTTACGGCGTGTTACCGGCCGTACTTGCTCCGCCACGAGGAATCCCGAGGAATAATAGGCCTCGGTCTCTCGGCTGCTCGAGGCTGGAAGTTCCTTCAGCGCGCGTCTGCTTCTCGTCGAAATCGTAACGAAAGCCATGCGTGAGACCGTATTTTCTCGCCTCGTACAGATATCTCATCGACACAATCACCCCATACATGCACGCTCTATCCTCTCCGCTCTCTCGTCGCGGAATTTTCAATCGCGATGCACTCGCGAGCGCTCGAAATTCCAAAAGTTGAACGGACGAAGGCAATACCGTTAACGAAATCCGGCCACGTAAATGTAACGTTGCCGGGACAAAATTCGTGATCGCGCGCAACTAACGAACGAAAACGCGTTCGCGGCTGAAAACTTTTCGCAAAAAGGTTCTACGGTCTCTTGAAACAAAACCGCGGTGTATACATACGCGCTTGTAAGTGTTTTCGCATCCATAGGAGTAACTTTATTTATAGAGGAGGTGCTATTTTCGATTCTCGGGTGAGATGATTCATCGCTGTTATATCCGTCCACTGTCGCTTGCTTCAAAAATTCCGTCGTCGTCGTCGTCGTCGTCATCGTCGTCATATTTTGGAGAAATATGTGAAAATACGCGACGCTGGACAGGTATTTACGAGCGCGTGAAATTCGCAATATTTTTCCGTGTTTACGGCCTCAATTAGCGATTCAACTTGACGTTCTTCTCGCGAGCGATCGTCACGGTCGCGCGACAAAAGACGGCGTGAACACAACGGAAGGGAGGAGGATAAATATTTTCCTGGAGAAAGCGCCGACGCGACACATGAGTTCGAAATTATACCTTTGCCGTCGGCACCACGAACACGAGGTCCCGGACCTACGTCACGATAATTACGGGTGGTCGAATCCTTCGGAGCGTAGGCCCCCGTGATGAAACAGGTTGGAGCGATTT